TCTGTGTCATTGTTCATGACTCATGTTGCCACCAAAGGCCACATGACTGTCCAGGATCCATGTTGGTGTCCGAAGTCTGTGCTGCTGCTGGATCCATACAGATCTAAGTGAGAAGTGCTGTCACCAAGGGCCATGGCATCGTGTGGGCACGAGCAGATTATACATACAAAGACATTTGGGTGAATCTTAACACTCCAATAAATCATACGTAAAAGTTGATGAAATAAACTTGGGCTAATGACTATCTATACTGTCCATGGAAGTCTTCCACTGGATCTAGTTTTCAGTGTATATCCTCACACCTCCTTTTTATAACATTATTTATATTGTGTGTGCTATAATGTCTACTCTTTGCTATATCATTCTCTCTATAAATGACATTCATGTGTGCACTATATATAATAATGACATACCAAAGATGCCTAGTAAATAGCAAAATCAATGTATGGTGATATGAGGAACATTGTACTAGTGTTTTGGAAAGTATTTAGTAATTCTGCCAGAAAAGAGAATGTTGTTCAATGTACGTTTTTAAGGTATGCATTTTAATTTCAGCCTACGTTTTATTCCCTGTAGGAGTTAGAATTTAGATGTGTAGAATTCATAGAGAATGCTCTTGCTTCTTTAGTTTCTTGCTTCCTTTGCTTTCGGGGATTTGGGGATTATCTAACTACAAAATAAGACATCTTACTCCAAATTTTTATAGCATTAGGTTAAAAATTATGTATTGTATAAGCTTCCAGTGAGAATTTAGAGAGTGGCCTCAGATTAACCTGGTCACCATTTTTTGCAGCTTTTGTTGAGCACCAGTGTAAGTAGTTATATATACTTACATAAACTATGCTTATCTTTAGCCGCTACCTCTGGCTTAGAAGTGTGTGTGTGCTGTGATGGGCATGCAGAGACTGTTGAAGGGAAGATGAGTGTTCCCGTATGTGGTCACTACGCTGCAAAGTAATCTTTTTTTTCCCCTACTTTTTGTGTGATCCAGCTCAATCTTAATTTTCCTGAATAGTCTAAAAAAATCTTTTACTGGGAATTTGTTTAAATTAGGGATCCTTTTGAGTTCTGCACATTCCATTTGCTTAATTTGTTTCTTCTGAGTTTGTAGTAATCCCTCTTCATCTGTTGTGGAAAAACTTGAGTCTTTTGTAGAAGATTTTCATAGACTAGATTTAATTGGTTATGTCCTGTTTTGCTTAGAGTTTTTCTGTTCCAAACCTTTCCTGTAAACTGGCAGGTGACATGTCTAGATACCTGTGTAGCTTCAGATTTTTAGAGGCAAGGACATTTCATATGTGATTCTGTGTATTTCTTTTCATTCATAACAAGATGTCAGGATTGATTTTACTCTAGGTTTTGGAGCCTGTCAGAGCTACTAAAATTTATTTTTCTGTGAAAATAAAATATTCTGTCTAAATTTGGCAAGATTCTCTGGGTAAATGGGATGAATTGAATGTATATAGATTGTAAAAGTATTTATTTAGGTTGCATTCCATGATAGGGATTACATAGTTCAACAGTGATTGCTTTTCTTTTGCTGGATAGGCTTGGAAGTCTGGAACTGCTCAGTCCACAGAGCTGGATGGTTTAGCAGCTTCAGTCCAATGCAGAAGGCTCGGAAGCTCTTGGAGAGTCTCGCTAGTAGGTCTAGTTTGGAAGGCTAAGATGCTGTAGTTTGATGTCAACTAAGAGCAGCAGGGATGGACATACTTGCTTAGGAAGAAGCAAAGACAAGGAGGTAGCATTGTCTTTTCCTTGGACTGGCTGTCCTGGAACTCGCTCTGTAGACCAGGCTGGCCTCAAACTCAGATCCACCTGCCTCTGCCTCTCAAGTGCTGGGATTAAAGACATGCACCACCACTGCCCAGTTTACACAATGTTTCTTATGTAGGTATTTATCTAAAAATATAGAACAAACTTAGTGGGGTAACATATATTAAGTTGAATCTATAGAGTGTGTGTGACACTAGTGAATTCACATCCTAGTAACTATCCATCCATGTTAAAGTCACTCGTGTTACCATTCTCTTCTACACTTGATTTTTTTTGTGTGACCCTGCTTTTAACTGCTTATTTAATTAAGTTTGGGGGACTTTGTTCTAGCAAGCCTGATATAGACCACAATCTTAAACTGTTGCATGTTGAGATTTGACAAGCACCAGTGTATATAAAGTCTGCATTTATTTGTCATGCCTGCATACCTCCTTATTCAGGTAATGCAAAGATAATAGACTTGAATATTATTCCATCAGTGGCTCCTGATTCTTTCCTAGCCTATAATATATTAATGAAATTTGCGTGCTCCATAGTTGGCACAGCTGAACTCTGGTAACACCTGAGAGGTTATATGCTCATTGACTGGGCAGTAGAACTTCTGATTACACTTCCTATGCCAATATTCTTGCTGCCCTCTCAATTCAAAATACAGCAAGTAATACACTTTGACTTTATATTGACTAAGATGGTGAATGTTCCTAAATCACAAATTCCCAGAGCCTAACTTGGTTCCATTTGACTAAAAACTACATTGTAGTAGGAAGAAAAGTTCAAGCTGATGTTATAATAATTGGGCTTTGTATTGAACTTTGTGTATTCTTTTTAAAACCATGAAGAGCCTGGAATGAAATGTACAGTTTTAAATCTTTGAAGGCTTCCTTTCTTACTCAGTCATCATAATCAAGCATTTGAATCAGCTTATGTTGCATAGGACAGCCAGGAAAAACTGGGCAAAGAGGATATGAGGGGAAGCAACTGAATAGTACAAATTAAAAAAACAAACCAACAAATCACTTAAGATTATGGTGTAGAGTTTGAATGTGAAAGCAAGTTTCAGACATGACTGCTTATGCCTGTTTAGTTGTTAACTTTGTTCAGTTAATGACCCCTAGACTAAGTAGCACATTTTTGCTTATTAAATCCCTAAAATTCAGGCAATTTGTAACCTGAAAAGCTACTCGCAGTACTAAATAAAGAAGGTGCATGGGTGGCTTCTGAGAGGATAATGTAATGGATATGGAAAGAGTTTGCAAAGGGGCAGGCTTGGTTGTTCTCCTGCAAAACCTACACCCTGGCCCTGCAGTCTTCAAGCTTCTCCTTCCTTCATGCTTGTCCCGCACTGATGGTAAGCCGCCCAGTATAGTTCATTCCTTTGTCATTGAAGGCAGTCTGTACTGACCCTGAAGTCAGAAGTTAATTCAAATCATCTTTGGTGGTTTATGGATATTATTTTATTTTTTAGACCTGAGTTAACTATGCAAGACTGTTGATGGAGAGAGGGCCTGCTTCTTGTCCCCATCACCCAGCTGTCTTACACCCAAAATAATCACACAAAAACTGTATTCATTAAGTTACTGCTTGCTCATTATCTCTAGCCTCTTATTGGCTAACTCTCACATCTTGATTTAACTCATTTCTACTAATCTGTGTTCACCACGAGGTCCTGGCTTACTGGGAAAGATTCAGCATGTCTGACCTGGTGTCTCCCTTACGGTTCTCTCACTTTGCTTTCTTCCTCCCAGAATTCAGTTCTGTCTTCTCCACCTACCTAAGTTCTGCCCTATCAGGCCAAGCAGTTTCTTTATTGATTAATCAATGGAAGCAACATATAAACAGAAGGACCTCCTACATCACAAGATGGGAAAAAAACTGTCATCCTGTAATTAACTTAGTAATTAATGATAAAGTGATAAACGTGGTACTTATGTACATGCCCAGGAACATTTGCTCCTACTTCCTAGTTCTTATCCAGCTGCAGACTCCTCAACCAAAGCTTTTATTTACTAGTCTTTCAGAAAGAGCTTATATAGTTTTGAAAATTTTTTCAAATGTGTCATGCCAATTCGGTAATTATGCCATATAAGAGAATATAGAAATCAACTCAGGGTATTTCAGACATTTCCAAGTTCTGTGCTAGCCATTTTTAGTTCCCCATTAAAGCTCAGAACAGTATTTATTAAAGTATTCACAGATTATATCATTAGAGATGTAGCCAATATGAACTTTTTAAAATTGTTAGTGATTGCATTCTAAAGACATACCAGGTAAAGTACATCAAAGGCAGCATGGCTCTTGAACCGAGGCAGAATCACAATGCTTTTTTATTTCAGAGCTATAAGGAAATATAGGAGAAAGTTTCTGGAGCATTTGGACAGAAGGTCTACTACCAGTGAAAACAGCAGGGTTCACACAGATATGCAGATTTAGGAAATTGACATGAGACATCAAAATAATTTCATTCTAAGACCGCAGATCATTTGTTCTGCAAATATTTGTACATTTAAAACTTCATAATATTATTGCAGGAAAAATTACATTCAGAGTCTAACATTTTCCCCTCCCAGTTGGTAGACCCTGAAGCACTTTGTGTGTCTGGTTTTGAGCGCCTCTTTAGAAGCTGCTGGAAAACAACATGTATTGTGCTTATTTTAGACAGGAAAGTAAGGGTGGAGCAGTAAAAGGCTAGCATTGTCTCCTCAGTCTGCTTCTGCAGACAGGAGGTGCTGGAGTCTTTTCCCTGACACTGCGTGATAGAGTCTTTATTATGTGCTATTTAACAACTGGAAAATAACCATTACATGTGCTGCACTCTTGTTACCAATTTCCTTACAGCAATTCTAAAAGTGTGAGTATGGAAGCATGTTTTGTGATAAAGGCCATTATCAAAAATGAAAAAAAGCAGTTCTCTGGCATGGGTGTTGTAACTGTTTCTGGTGATATGTAGGGAAAACATGGCTGCTTGATCTTGACTCCACTGCAGAATCTAATTTGAATTTAGTCTTTTTAGTACGTTAATGTCTCAAAGTAGCCACTACTGAGCACAGGTCGGCAAAATACTTTATTCTTTTCAGTCTTGATGTACAATGTTTATTAAAAATTTCAAGATTCAATTTATTTTTTGCATTTTGCTTACTTTATATAGGAATCATGTTAATAAATACATAGTTATATATCCATGTAATTATACTTATTTAGCAACATTTCCTTTTTTTCTATCCACAGATTCTGTCAAGTTTTAAGAACAAATGCATCTTATAGCTCATGGAAGAAAAAACACAAATCAAGACGTTTTTGGGTTCCAAGCTGCCAAAATATGGAACGAAATCTGTGAGAAGTACTCTGCAGCCAGTGCCAAATGGGACCACTGTGGCTTTATTAGGGGCTTCCAAGAGCAGTAGTGTCAAAAGTTACATCAAAAATAATGGCTCTGATTGTTCGTTGTCCCACTCATTTAATTGGAGACAAGCAAATAAATACCAACTTGGTTCACAAAATACAGCAGAACTTAATAGTATTCAAAGTGCACATGATAAACTAATTGACCCTGAGCAAAATGCAGCTGCTCCAGGGACGCGTGATGGGGATGGGGTAAAGGTAGGTTTGAAAAGTGCTTCCGTGTTGACGTCCAAGTTAGCAAGACCATCCACCATGTTTTTGTCATCTACAGAGGAGTTAAGTCCAAAATCGTTTTCTGGACCATCTAATTTGGGTAAATTCACCAAAGGCACATTACTAGGAAGGACTTCATATTCTTCAGTCAATGCCAAGTCACATTTAAATACATTTTATAGGAACCGGTCACCTGGTAACATGCAGAAGCCAAGAGTGAATTCCTGTGCCACCAGGAGCAGTTCTGGAGAAAGTTTGGCACAGTCCCCAGACAATTCTAAATCTATTACTTGTGAAAAAATGGTAAGGTCACAAAGTTTTTCACATTCCATTCAGAATTCATTCCTTCCGCCTTCGTCTATAACCAGATCACATTCCTTCAACAGAGCTGTAGACCTGACAAAGCCTTATCAGAACCAACAGCTACCCGTTCGAGTGCCTCTCCGGTCAGGCATGCTGACGAGAAATTCTCGGCAGTCAGAAGTACTCAATGGGAACGAACACTTGGGGTTTGGTTTTAATAGGCCTTATGCTGCTGGCGCAAAGAAATTGGCTTTATCCAATGGCCCAGGTGTATCTTCCACGTTGGGTTATAGGATGGTTCATCCCTCTCTACTGAAATCTAGCCGACCTCCATTTTCTGGGACTGTGACAGTTGATAGTAATAAAAATTCACCTGCTGACATGTGTGTCGAAGAAGAAGCTATAGTTTTGGCAAAGGATGGCTCTACTGACAAGGACCACGAACTAGTTGAAAATGAAAGTTATCGAACAGACAATGATCAGACCGTGAAGCATGATTCTAAAATGCGGTACCTGAGTGATGATGTGGATGATATTTCCTTGTCATCGTTGTCATCCTCTGATAAGAATGATCTAAGTGAGGACTTCAGTGATGACTTCATAGACCTGGAGGACTCCAACAGAACTAGGATCACTCCCGAGGAGATTACCCTCAAAGAAGACAAGCATGAGAATGGACCATCAAAGGATAGATTTGATTCTCCTAAGGAAAATGAACAGACCCTCAGTAAAACTGATGAATGGATCGATATAAGTGTCTCTGGTAAGTATGAATATCCTTAATTCATGTGTTTTCTCTTAGCGATCACAGCACAGCTCAGATTTGGGGGTTGTCTTCTGATAGTTTCCAATATGCTATTTCATTGAGAAGACTAATCTAGATAAAATGGAGCAGGACATCAGCCCTGTGGCTTGTTTTGATATGGTTTTCACCTTGTCTAGGATAGAATCAGTCCAAACTCTCCAAACCTTGTCCTTTGGGGGGCTGTCTTCTTCAGGCTGATTCCCATGTGGTAAAGGCTGTGTTTTCCTGATGCTCTTCCCTGCCCTATTAAACAGGACCATTTACTCTGCTAAGAGCAAAGCCATTGCAGATACCAGTCAGAGGACAGGCTGTGTTCTGTTGAATATTTTTCTATCTGAGGGATCGTTTTTGGTTAGCAGTCCTTAACTTCAGTGAATCATTGTTTACTTTCATTACTGAGGAGAGAGAGTGCCTATTAAACATTTCTTCTTAGACTTGTCTATGTTGGTACTTAGTGTGGGACGAAAGTTATTTGTTCGACTATCCTGAAAGATGAACAGTGAAGGGAGTGTACAAAGGCATGCCTAGTCAAGGGACTGGTCACATATAGTGATGCACTAAACCCCTACAGCTCTTCTAAAATAGAAGATGACTAGAACATTCTTTTTCTTGTTAAGAATGCATCTGTGAGGCTAAATAGTTTACAGAGAGGGAGAGGATTTCCTGAACAGTGATTAAAATTCAGTATTTTGCCAGGCTGTGGTGGTGCACACTTTTAATCCCAGCACTTGGGAGGCAGAGGTAGGTGGATCTCTGTGAGTTCAAGGCCACTGTGGTCTCTAAGAGCTAGTTCCAGGACAGGCCCCAAAGCTACAGAGAAACCCTGTCTCGAAAAACCAAAACCAAACCAAACCAAAATAAAAAAAAATATTGTGGGAAATATTAAAGGAATGTGAGGATGTAAGAAATGTTGCAGAGTGAGTTTTATGTTTGCTACAGAATGTTTAGCAGCTCATTTTTAAAACTCTGCCTTCTTTTTTGTTACATTTATTTGGAATTTAGAAGCAAGCTACAGTTCTGGTTTTTGAACAAAATGGTGTTATGATACATTGGGTTATTAGAGCTTTTATTTTAGGAATGAGAAATGATTGTTTTGTAAATTCATGTTTTTTCTTTCTTTTAAAACCATTTGAAGACAGGAGTGAATGTGCAAAGCACACTTCTGGGAATAACTTGGTTTCACCAGATACGGATTACAGAGCTGGATCTTCATTTGAACTCTCTCCATCTGACAGCTCTGATGGAACGTACATGTGGGATGAAGAGGGCCTGGAACCCATTGGGAGTGTCCATCCTGTTGGCAGCTATGAGTCCTCCGAAATGAACAGCATAGTATGTATGGATTTGTGCGCCCTTTTGGAGTTTTCTTCTTACTCTGTTATACAGAGACACATGACACTGATAAATACTTTAAACCTTGAAATCAGCTTTCTTATTTGAGAATAGGAATTTGTACCTATCTGCTAATGGCTTCTAAAATGTGTATCTAAAACATCAAGTATATGGTATGTAACATTTTTTTTTAGTGTACACACACACACACACACACACACACACACACACACGCACACACAATACATCCAGGCATTTGTGCTTACTGCATTGGTCAGGCTAACCTAAGAATTTGGCTATCAAGGAGGTGAAGGGCATGCATGACCTGTAGACATTTTTTAGTTGCTATATTGAGAAGTGTCACTGGTGAAGGGGGGCCAAAGATGGGGCTTAACAGCAGCCAGCGTTTTCACAGAGAGGGTACAGAATTAGTGGAGAAGTCACTCCGTGACCATGAATTAACTGTTGGTAAACCCTGTGTTAGGTTCTACCACCAACTCAGTGTGGCTTAATATAAGGAAAGGTTTCAGCCTTTGTTTCTGCAAAGTCTGTTGTAGGTCTGGGCAGTCTCTGTGACAGTTGTCTTTAGTGACCTAAGCTGCTTTGGCCTTGAGCTTGACCTTGTCTTTGAAGCCCCCTTCTTCCTGTGATAGAAGAAGACAGTATCTTCAGTCATAGGCTTGTAGTATTTAATTTGGCCTGCAAGTGGCACTGGGCGCATTCACTCACAACCTGATCATCAGAGCTTGTCTGTGGTCCCACATAAATACTCAGGGGATAGGAAATGTAATCTTTTTTTTGGAAAGAGGGAACTAGAAGAGCTATTGGCAATAATGCATGACATTACAAGACATTACAAGTCACATGGATAAAATGTAGCTGGTGTATTTAAAATGGCTCAGTGTAATTATTTAGGTTATAAAATAGAAATCCTCATACAATCAAATTGGTTTGTAGATATACAGCATTCTAATTGTCTTTTCAGTCAGCATGACTTTCTATATTCATATAAGCCTGTGACATGAAGAAACCAGATATTTCCCAAGAGTTTTTAAGTTTTACATACATAAGGAAGCCTTTGTTTGTATATATAATTTACAGAGTATCTTTCTCTGTTTAGGTCAAAGTTACAGTTTAAGACATCACTATGTTCTTTATTAATAGAGCTTTTAAATGAATAATTGAGGTTCTTATCAACATTTTGTCCTGTAGAAGGCAGTCGTAGGTCACTTAGGCTGTTTTGAAAGGTTCATTATCATAACTGACAGAAGGCTCTCTTTGCAGAGTTTAGAATGTGCATGAATGACCTTGGTGTTAAAATCCATGAGTGCTTGTCTTTACTGCACTTGAGAATAACAATTGGAAGCAGCAAGTCTTTACTGTACTGTAGAACAAGATGGTGGCTCCTGATTTTTCTCTCTGCTTCGTTTTGAGTCTGGATTTCACTATGAGGCATGTCTGTCCCAGAACTCTATGTGTAGACCAGGCTGACTTCAGATTCACAGGGTTCTGCTGGCTTCTGCCACCCAAGTGCTGGACTTAAAAGTCTACATTGCCTTGCCCAATTTTGATATTTTTCTTTATTGATCCCAGAGGAAGACAGTCTGAGGAAGGATGGATGTATTGGTAAAGCATGTTAAGTTCTTGGATAGTGGATTCACTGTTTTTGATGGAAGTTCATAGTGTTTGCTTTGACTATTTTCAACTTTCTTGCTTTTATGATACATCTCTTAACTGTTTGGTCTTCGTTGAGATGCTGTTTCGGCCAATGCATTTTTGTCTTCCTTCTTTTTGTCGAGATATCAGTGTACTTTGTCAGTTTATTTATTTCCCTTCCTTTCACAGTAAACTTGCTTGATCCTTAGCAAATAATTTATTTAAAAAGAATTTTGTCTTTTTTTTAACAAAGAGTTTACTTCTGTGTTTTTGGTGTACTTCACTCTGATATCTTATTATTTTTACTTACATTGTCTTCCTCTTTCTGCTTTTCCATTTTCCTTTTCTTTGCTAAAATAATTCCTGTTAATACTTGTAACGTAAGTCCAAATGAGCTTTAGCATGCTCTCTCTGTTTTTGGACCTTACAGCAACGTTAACTCCAGTCCTGGTGAATATAAGTAAAGTGTCTCTAGATTGTATGCCAGTTGTCACTATTATGCAGGTTAGAGGAGAGTGCCCACTGCCCTGTTGTGAATTTAGCCCAGGGTCTGTGCATGCTGTGTCAGCACTGCAGCACTGGGCTGCATCTCCAGTCAGCTCCTGTTTCCTTCAGCTGATGCTGCTTTTAAGCAAGACTTTGTATTTGAAGTAAAAGAGTGCTAAGGACACTTGGCGCAAGTTCTTATGTTGTCAAGGATAAACAGAGAACTTTCAGACCAGCACTTTGGAAACAGTCACTAGCTGGAATTTACATGCTTAGTAGTACTTGTGTATAATTTACATTCAGTAAAGCACAAACAGCCCATGGACTTTTGTAATGGGAAATATTATGGTTATGGGAAATATTCTGTCACCTCAAAAAATTCTTTTCTGTTCCTTTCATTGACCCTCTTATTCCAGAGAAAAGTTACTTCTTATCACGAGAAAGAGAGGAAAGGATGCTGGAATGTTTCTTCTGTCACTGTAGATTAATTGTACTGTTCTTAAACTGTATATAAATGAAGCTGGGCACATATTATTTTGTGTCTGGCTTCTTTTAATGAGTTGTAGCTTGTTTGTTTTATTGTATGGGAACGTCTTTGCTGTGATGCCAGGGTTATTAAACACGAGCACTACAGCGTTGTGATGACTCGTCTGGTAACACTAAGGTATTTGGGAAGTGAGGAATTTAAGCCATAAGTATAGTTAACCTTCGTTTTTGGAATGTTTTTTTTCTAAAAAAAATTGAGTATGGGAGAACTGTCTCCATTACTTATCTGCCATATGACATCATGGGTGGTAGTAGAGATGCCCCTCCAACTCATCAATGCCTAAGGCAGGTGGGAGAGCTGACCCTGCCCACTCATCAGCCATGCCTGAGCAACACAGCAGTGCTGGCTCTGAAGGGGTAGGTGTGTGAGATCCAACCCTGAGGACCTGAAGAAGGAGAACTGGCTTCACCCCTTTCTCTTCTCTATTAGAAGTGAACTTGACAGGGCAGTGCAGGAGAGCTTGCCCTGGTGGTGAGGACAAGGGAGACCTGGTGGGCTGACCAATCCTACACAGGGCCAGAACCAGAGTTATGGGTTGATCTACCCCAAAATCCACCCCATCTGTGATCTGCTGGAGCACATGAAGGGACTGGTCTTGCAGATCCAAAGCTACAGGATTTTCACAACACAGGGCAATAGCAGAATAGCCAAGAGGACTTCCAGTAAGGGTCCAGCATCGTTAGTGCAGCAGAAACCAGAGGCCTTGAACTAGACCAGTGACTCTTTGCAATGAACACTTGCAAGTAAAGATACATGGACAAAAGGGTTTACTGTGTGACTCACTGTGCGTGACTACCTGTGCCACACTACAGCTTCTATTTTCTCAAATTTTACTGGCAGGGGGATGCAAGGGCAGAGGGTGGATACGAAGGAATGGAAAATAAATGGGACTGAGATGAAAAATGTGAAAGACACAAAGATTAAATAAAAAGAATGTAGAGATATTCTCTTGCTGTTTACCCTAGGTTAGTGTGTACTATGAGATCCTTCTTCATGGTCCCAGGGCTCTGGGGTTGAGGGTTTAAACTGCCAGCCTGCTTAGAGTAAATAAAACAGGGTGTCCAAGTTCTAGGCAATCAGTTCTTGAACATGTTGGGTGTTTTTTGTGTTTGTCAGTCTTGCCTTATTTTCAGATAGTAGGCCCTCGGAACTCCTTATTTAAACCAGCTACTTAACTTAGAAGCAAATGACTTGACAGTAAGAAATACTTATGTCTTCATTGATGGTGCTGACATATTTGTATTTCAGATGGTTCTTTTTCTCTGTTTTCCTAGGAACAAGTGGCTGCATTTGGTTTTTTTGACCTGGTGATTTCAGATAGACACCACTGTGTCTTAAATGTGCATTGGGTCCCATGAGAGTCTTATGAGTTCCTTAGGTTGCTTGTAATAAATTTTGGATCATTTTTATCCAGAAATAGAAAAGCAAGTAAAAATAATAAATCTGATATGTATTTATCTTTCAGTTTTAGAGGAAACTTTTTAATTTTTAAATTAATCTTTAATTACATATGATCTTAGTCTCACTTAACTTACTTACCTTTGTTAGTTTAGACGGTACATCCTGTAGGTCCTCAAAATATGCTAACTCAGGAGGAAATTCCTCCAGGGCCTTAAGGCTTTGGTTCCCAGAACTCTCTTTGCTAGTTGGTCCTCTGCTAAATAGCTTGGTGCGGCCCCTTAAAGAGTCCAGCTCTTTTCCCGCTCCAGGGAAAGTTGTGTCTTTTTCTGCTTCCTTGGAAGAAGGGCACCAGAGATACTTTGATCATTTTTAAAGTATATTTGCAGTACTAGCTTGTTTCCATTCTACTAGTGTTTTTTTTAATCCCGTTTAACAGACTTTTTTACTGCTCATTGAACTTTTATTCAGTTTTATTATTACCATATTACCATCTCTTTGCATCTCACTCAGATTTCTCCAGTTGACCAATAAAATATGTATTCTTTGGTAAACAGACACATTAGAATCACCCATTGGTTTGGGTTAGAATGAGCTTGAGTCTTGTCTGTTTTCTGGACCATGAGTGTTCCATGTATTTGGCTTTTCTGTTCCACCCTTGTGTTCTTCGAGTGCTGCATTCCTCAACCTCTCGTATAAGGTGGTTTAGTCTTTCTCCTTCTTTGTTTACTCTAACCCCAGGATTAGCTACATCTCTAGGACCTCTGCTTCTTTTTCATTATAAATGAAATCAGAAAGCAACGTTTCAGGGGCTTGGTATGCTGATTCCTGCCCCAGAGTTGTTCTCAGCAGGAAATCTTTTGTGTGAGTATCTGTACATAGGTGTTCCCACCAATGGCTTACTTCCAAGCAT